CGAGCGGCGCGGCCAGGCGGGTGTGCGGGGGGCGCCATAGGCGGGATGGGGCGGGGCCTTCGGGGGCTGGGCCTTCTCTCGTTAACCCCGCCCCTGCTCCAGCTCCTCCCCTCCCCATGAGGCAGGGCGAGGCCAGAGCGCTCTAGTGCGCTTCTTTGGAGACAGTTTCCACAGAGGCTTTTCTGGGGTGCGGGCGTTGTCACAGTCGCCATGGTGACAGTATCATGAACGTCATCCACGCTGTGTCCCTCTTCTGTCAAAGGATACCTGTGCTAAACATCCCAGGTGAGACACTAAGGAGGCCACATTTAAGGGACTGGGAGGAGGCAGATTGAGGGGCCAGGTGAGAAACGTGTGGCCCAGCGAGAGCCAGGTTCTGTTGCAGGACGTAGTCTGGAGAGGGACTGGTCAGAGGGTCTTTAGCCGAAATGTGGATGAATAATTGAGCTCCCCGTAGTGGCGCATGTCTGTATTCCCAGTGCTCTGGGAGGCTGAGGCAGGAAGATTGCAAGTTTGACCCCAGCCTAGGCAACTCAGCAATTTAGCAAGACACTGTCTTTTTAAAAAAGGCTGGAATGTAGCTTACTTAGTGCTATCCCCAAGGCCTGGGCCACCATCCTCAGGGGCCCTCACTAGAGACAGCTGGCGCCAGAAGGAAACAGGGCTTTTCTAGGGACTTGGAGCAAGACCTCCACTCCAGCCCACAGCCTGGAGTCCGCACCTCACCCGGGACCCTGGGTCTGAGAGATAAGGTAGGATGAGGTAGTTCGGGCCAGGTTTCCCGCCGGGCTCTATGTTCCCTTCTAGCCTTCACCCTCACCTTGGTTTGACCATTTTCTAAGGTGCCTGGGTGTTCAGGCCTCACCTGGTGACCAATCCCCAGCAGTTGTGAGGTGTCCACAGCAGGTGACTTCACGAGACTGCTGGAACCTGCATGGGGTGCGGATGCTGGTCCTGCCTGGGAATGGGCAAACACGAGTGCTGTAAGCCTTGTCCGTGCGGATAACTGGAAGTAGACCGAGGCCCCTGGGTGGGGTGGTCCAGAACCTACAGGTTAGGCCACCCCATCCCACCCACTTTGTGTCCAAGGTGAAAGCGGCAGTGGGGAAGTCTACAGGGTCCCTGATGACCATGGCAAGGAAGGCGGAGCCCTTGTCTCTGGGGTGTGGGTGCTTCGCATTTGCATTTAAGGAGGTTCCTTTTGTTGTGGCAGAGTGGAACAGCTCACTGCTATAGCCAAAGGTTCCAGCTCAGTGTCACAGCTCTGGGTGGAGGCTATTGCAATTTGAAGATTCAAGAATCCAGGGGCTGGGGATTTAGTTCAGTGGTTCCACCACCTGCTTCACAAGTGCAAAGTCCTGAGTTTAATCCCCTGTAGCAAAAACAAAAAACAAAACAAAACAAAAAAACCCCACAAAAAACCAACAACAGCAACAACAACAAAAAACCAGAACCTGACGGTCACTCAAAAAGATGAAGAAAAACCTTAATCATGTCAGCAGTTTCAGAGGACTTCATAATGGAAGTCTGAACCCTCTACCAGAAATGATAGCCTCCTTATATAGGGATCTACAAGGCAGGTGAGCATGCTTACTGAAGCAGGGGGGTGGAGTTTCAGAACATTCTCAAAAGGCAGCAGATCTTAACAGAACATTCCTGAAAAGTCACACAGTTCAAACAGTCACAAACTTTTTTGTTTGTTTGTTTTTGTTTTTATTTTTGTTTTTTGAGACAGGGTCTCACTATGTAGCTGAGACTGACCTGGAACTATGTAGCCCAGGCTGGTCTCGAACTCACAGCGATCCTCCTGCCTCAGCCTCCCGAGTGCTGGGATTACAGGTGTGAGACAGCACCCTGGCCACAAACCATTTTGATACATTGGGCAAGAGACCAGCAGCACAAACTGTTACATTTCTGAAACAAAAAATCTTGTGAAAAACAAGCAAACAAACATGGAGGCAAGGCCAGGGAAAGGCAAGGGCCTATCCAACTGTGTATTATTGCACTATCACGTTAGCTGAATCAAGGCGGTTTCCAGAAGAGTAACTGTCCTGTTGGACTGGGACAGTGAGGTTCAGAACGGTGCAGTGGATCCCACAGCTTGGACACCGCACTTCCCACACTGTTGGCTCCTGGGGGAGAGGGGCGCGGGACCAGCTCTCCACCGAGCCTGTGCTGATGGTGAAGCCTTGGGAGCTGTGGTCACCTCCTTCTGACCCTGAATTTCAGCACTGTATCAACTCAAGAGGACTGATTTTCCTTCCAGTACATGTTTGTTTTTCTTCTAAGACAAAAGATGGTAGTGTATGAGTTGTTTTTTCTAAACTAAAACCTCCGTGTCCAGGTTGCAGTGTTGGCCCTTTGTGATAATAAGGGCCTAGCTTTGCAGTTTGGGCGCTCATCTCTAAAGGGTTCGCCATCCCTGCCCTATACTTTCCTTAAGGAGCTGTGGAGAAATAGGTCCAAAGTTACAGAGAAGGGTCATGGTGCCTCAGGAGAGAAATCAGCCAGACTGAAGGACATCCCAACATGGTCATTCCTGTTTAGCATTTTTCTTGTTTTTGTTTTTGAAACGGTGGGTGTCTTGCTATGTAGCTCAGGCTGGCCTTGAAGTCACTGTGATCCTCCTGCCTCAGCCTTTCTAGTGCTGGAGTTACAGGTATGTACCACTGCCCCTGATATCCCTGTTAAGGATCTTGTACATCTTGGTCTTTGGGAGTAAATCTGGGGATATTTCACCTGGAAAAGAAGTTTCCAATGGAAGAAGACAGCCCAGCAACAAACTGAGGGGTGGGATATGGACTTGTTCTGTTCCACAAGGTGCAAGCATTAGAAACAGGAGTTGTAGGAGCCAGTTTCCTCAGGTTCAGCCTAAGTCTTGTAACAGAGGGCCGCAGAGCAGCTGAACACTCCTGATCGCTCGGGAGTGAGGAGGCCGAGCGAGGTGAGCTCCACAAGACACACGCTGAAGCTCCTCATCCCCGGGGGTCAACAAGATCCGAGCAAGGAAAACTGGGGGCACTGAGAGGGGCCTCCGAAACCACTAGAGGAGCCAAGTAGGTGGATGCACACTGAGGCACTTTGGAACCAGGAGCAGAAGCACTGGGAGCGAGGCGGCCGCCGGGCTGGGCTGTGCACAGGACAGTGCAGGCACAGGCGCGGGGGTGACTCGGCTGTCTGGAGGTGGCTCCAGCCTGGCCCTTTGGGCCTCTGCTCTCCTCACTACCAGCCCCTCCATCCCTGGACCCTTGGGAAGCCACTCGGAGACAGACGTTAGAAAAAATACCTTTTTATTAATGATCAGGAACAACACATTCACGTAATGCAGGGCGAGTCGGGGGAGGCTGGGGGCTGCCTGGGCGCTGCGGGAGAACGTGCGGGAGGGCAGTGAGGAAGGGCAGCACGCAGACAGCCGTCACAGCGCCTTCCCGACCAGGCCGGTGCGGTCCCTACAGGTGCCAGGGCATCTGGAAGTTCTGGGCTGGGAGCGGGGTGCAGTGTGTGGCCTCAAAGTTGTGCAGATGCTTCCGAGCCTAGAACGAGTGCACAG